TAGAGACCAGAACATTCTCAACCTGAACTTACTTCAGGTCAAATGTTCTTTGATTATAATTCACAAAGAACTTTTCCTCCTTTATCATGAGGGTAGAACACACACCATTACTTTTCAATCTCCTGGTAAAATTGTGAAGAATAAAAAGTATCTGTTCTCTCTAGAGGTAGAAAAACTGAGCATGAATTTCTCTCAAAATTGTTATTTCTTATTGGAACTGAGGCTTACACTTTGCTATTATAAGAAATCCTAAGAAAGACTGCTCTTTCAAATACTATCAATATCCAGCCACTTTCCTTCAGAAGCTTTTAAAAGAATATTTTAAGATACTTATTCTTGCAAAATCTATCTTCTGGTATTCAAACAGTGTCGAAAATCAGCATTCCAATTACCTAAACCAAGGAGACCTCAACTGAATGAAATTGACATGTAATCATAGAAAAGAAACAAGAGATAAGGAAACCTCTTGGGACTGGGTTGGACACCCAAGCTAAAAATGAGATGGTGCTTACAAAGTTTATTAAAAAAAAATTCTTTAAACAGATTTTAATTTATAAAGAAACAAGAAAAAGAAAAATTTCTGCGTTTTTATAAAGGGATGAGGATAACAATGGAGAACAAAATGAAATAAATGACTTCTAATATTTTAAAATCATTTCCAATAAAATATGAGAAAATAAAGAAATTAAAAACATAAGAAATCTGGCAAAAGTAAGAAAGAGACTGTCTAATGTACATTAACTTAAATCTTCAGAAGTAATAATAGCTAACAATTACTGGGCATGGTCTGTGCAGGCAAGCTTCTAAATGCATGGCATCTGTTACCTCCTTCAACCCTCATAGTAATGCTGTGCAACAGGAAACATTATTATCTACATTTTGCAGTTGGGGACACTGAGATACATAGGGATTAATTAACTTACCCAGCATCATCCTGGTAGGACGTAAAGAAGACAAGAGAAAATTCCCAAGATTCTTGCCCCAGAGTCCACACTCTCAGTGATACACACAAAGTCACATATTGCAAATATCCCTGCACCCTAATGCAGAAAGCTTTGAGTAGCTACTATTACATTTCCAATAGGGATCCAGCTCAGTAAAGCCTAACTTCCTGGCTACCCAAGTTGTTTTTCTTCTTTGCTTCCTCCCATTACCTTTCCATAACCTCTTATAATCTAAAATCATCTTCGATTGTTATGAGGTAAAAGGGATCTGCTAACTGGGATACTTTTCAAGTTTTCTAGTATAAGTAAGATGAGGTCTTTACAACCGAGAACATTCTACATAGTCTTGGATACTTTCAACAGAAAAATTGGCCCCAAAATATATTTATCAACTCATACTAAGTAATTAAAAATTACATTATAATCACCAAAACAATAATAAGGCTGTGTGAATTTATGGCTTTGTTTATAATAGAGCACCATAAAAAATATAGCATAATATTGAAAAGGTAAAATAATAAAATAAATAAATTGGAGCCAAACATGCTAAAGATGGAAAATTAGTCCATTACAGTTAAATTCACTGGAAGAGTTGTTAAAATACCATGTGGAAACTGTGAAAATTCATATAACTGACAACAATATCTAAGGAAATCATTTGAGGAAACTGAATTTTTCTGTTTGAAAAAAGGGAAGAATTAACTTACAAAGAGTCCTCAGGCAATATAAATACTACTTTTTAGAAACCTATATATAAAAATGTTATTCTCTACACAATTTTAATACCCTAACAAATTAATATAAATATCCTGTAATATAGACAAAATTAATTATAAAACATCCTTTCATTGGAATATTACACAATCATTAAAAATAACCTTGATAGAAGTATTTAACAGCATAACATATGCTTAGGAGAGTATGCTAAGAAGAAATAACTTAAGACATGGTACAAAACAATATACATGGAATGATTACTATCACGTTTTTTAAAATCAGATGAAAAGAAACAAGATTGCATGACATGAAGAAAGTTCCTGACTTACAGTGGTTCAACTCACAATTTTTTGACTTTACAACAGAGGGAAACCCACTCATAAGTGAAGCACAGCATTCAAAAATATTGCCAGTGCATATAAATACATGTAAATAGTAAGCCAGTACTAATTTTGTTTTACTTTTCTATATTTTCCCATTTTTAATGAGCATACATTATTTTATATTAAAATATTATTTTACAAGGGAAAAACCCTTGACATGTAATAAAATCATAACTAGTTTTTAATTTAAAAAGAATATGAATACACTTAATGAAAAACCGGGTGAAGTGGAAACCACAACAGGAACAAAAAAAGATTCTTAAAATTGAGGTAAACTCTAATATGAATTAATATATTTCACGGCAATCCTTTGATTCCAGCAATCCTTTTACTATACAGGACCAGCAACCTATCAATCTGACAAGCTTCTTGTCCTTTGCCTGCCTCTCCCACAAGCCTTCTCTTTCCACAGCTTACACTCCAAGGACAATCCTAATCACCTTGGTGCATGCCCCTTCAGTCCCTAAACATTCTATTAATTTCTTTCTCTAACTAGTGAACTACGGTAAGACATTTGTGAAATTCTACACTCTGCCGAATTATTGTAACCCAGAAGCTTCCTGGAATTGAGGGAAAACACACAATCCTACTGATCAGATTTGCTTTCAATTTGGGGTTGCTAACCCCAGCTGGGCTCTTCACGCTACCAGGCAATGCGAGTTTATGTTTCTGGCACATACACCTCCCTCTCCTTTCTTGTGGAATCTCCAACACCCTTCTCTGTTGTCATTTGCCCCTGATGCATTTTCTTCGTATTTTAGTTAGGGGGAAAAAAACCATCAGAGAGAATGAATTAGTCCATTCTCACTCTGCTATAAAGAACTACCCGAGACTTGGTGATTTATGAAAGAAAGAGATTTAATTGACTCACAGTTCTGCATAGCTGGGGAGGCCTCGGGAAACTCACAATCATGGTGGAAGGGAAAGCAAACATGCCCTTTACATGATGGCAGAAAGAAGAAGTGCCGAACAAAAAGGGAAAAAAATCCCTTTATAAAATGAGAAAATCTCCTGAGAACTCACTCCCTATCATGAGAAAAGGATAGGAAAAACCAATCCCATGATTCAATTATCTCCACCTGGTTCCACCCTTGACACGTGAGAATTATTCCAATTCAAGGTGAGATTCAGGTGGGGACACAGAGCCAAACCATATCAGGGAACTTCCACCTGTTTCTACCAAAACATTCTTTTGAATTCCTGTATTTAGACCCCTTTACTTGAATCTCTTTCTCATTACTGTCAGAGAACTTCCACCTGTTTCTACCAAAACAATCTTTCAACTTCCTGTATTTGGACCCCTTTACTTGAATTTCTTTCACATTACTGTGGGTGAGCTGCCCATGCTATCAGCCAAGTCTCAGCTCTCCACAGGACTAGCATGTCCACTCAAAGATGATGTTGTAAAAACTCTCTTCCATCTCTCTAGCATTACTAGTGTATTTTCCTCTATTGCACCTTTTCTATAAGCATAAAACATGATGGTGCTTTTTACATCTTTAAAAAAGGTCAAATAAACCCATCTTGACCTTTCTTCCTTCTTCAGTTTCCACCGCTCTGCTCCACTTCCCTTTACAGCAGAAGCGGGCACACATAGAAAATACTTTCTCTCCTTATCCACAAATATATTTCTTCTCTCTAATACCTTCCATTAATTTTCACCCATTGTCCACTCCACCGAAAGTACTTTTATCAAGGTCACCTGTGACCTGTTGCCAAAGTCGCTGATAAATTCTCATTCCTATACATGCTTGACCCATCACCATGCGAGGCAGCTTATCACTGTCTCCTTAAAATAGTCAGATTATATTACTCAGGTCATATCACTCATATATTCAACGTGTTGTAATAACTTCCTTTCTCAATCAAGCAAAAGCTAAAGTAATATAGCCTCTATAGCTTTATTCCTTAACATCTGGCCTTGTTTCTTGTCTGGGTTCATCTGAAGTCTTCTCATGTGACTCTAGCCACACTGGCCTTACCTTTTGTTCTTTGAACATAGCAGGCATGTTCTTGCCTGACAGCCTTTACACTTGCTATCTTCCCTGCCAAAAACATGCTTTCCCCTGATACGTATGGTGACTTCCTCGTCATCTTTAGGTATTTGCTAAAATATTACCTTACTTATGAGGACTTTTCTGGCCTCCTGATTTAAAAAAAATACCCTCCTCATTGTACTTCTCTGCCTTATTTTTCTTCATATTACTCACAAAATATAATATGCTATATGTATGACTAATTTATTTTATGCCCTATCTCATCACACTAGAATGAAAGCACCAAGAGTGCCTGTTTATTTATCTGTTTTGTTCACTCTTGTATCCCAGAGCTTAGAACAGTTTCTAGTACTTAGTAGGTGCTCAATAAAAACTTACGGAGTGACTGTTGCATACATTTCATTTCCCCTTGAAAACTGAGAAAGAACAAATTACATTAATAGGATAAAAGTCACTGCAGCAAATCAAGGAAGGTTTGTAAAGATTTTCTAGATGATTTGCAAATCTAGTTAAAATATGGTATATACAGTTTGCCTGAATGGCTTTGTTGAAAGAAATGCCAACAACAGTATGAAAACTCTGGAAAGCATAACCAAGAAGTCACATATTTAAATTTTACTATCTCTTAGCTCTAGGCCAGAGGAGGAGGGGGAGAAGAAATGAAGAAAAGAAACAGAGACAGACAGACACACACACACACACGCACACACGCACACACACACACACAGAGTGAGAAAAAGACAAAGAGAATAAAAGAAAGACTTAGCTCAGGCTTCTATAACAAAATACCTTAAACTGAGCAGCTTAAACATTCGTTTCTCACCATTTTGGAAGTTTACAATGCAAGATCAGGGTGTCAGGTGGGTAAGGTTCTTGGTGGAGCCCTCTTCCTTTCACAGATTGTTGTCTTCTTGCTATGTTTTCATACAGTGAAAAACTCTCTGTCCTCTTCTTATAAGGGCACTAATCCTATTCATGAGGGCTCCACCTTCATGACCTCATCACTTCTCAAAGGCTTCACCTTCTAATTCAGTCACAATGGAATTAAGGAGTCAACGTTTTGGAGAGACGTAAGCCATTCGGTCCACAATGGAAAGCTATCCGGTGAAGTACACGAGACTCTGCTTTCTATTTTCTACACTCCAGTCTCTGTGACCTAACACTATACCTATTACCTTTGTGATAGTCACTAACGCCATTTTTATCTGCTGAATAGCAAAGACAATTGCAATCGTGACAAAGTAAATGTTTAATTTTGTGAAGTACGCCTCTTCTCCTTCTTTTTTCAAAATATTTGATCCTAATCATTTATTTTTTAGCATTTGTATGATACTTAATAACAACAAATTACAAATTCTTGTTGAACCTTGACATTAAATGAAAACCTTTCTCATAGTATAAATTTAGTGGAATTGCAAATGAACATAGGAGCCAAGGCATAGCAAATGAACATTCCTGTTTGTGAATTCTTTTGTTCAAAACAGAATTAGCATTGGCTTTTTCAGTTCCCACAGCCTACAGAGATAATCCTAAAGCATAAAAATTCTGGAGCAGTTCATGCCTTTAAAATGGCAACAAAGCCAAAATTGATTAGTTTTTGTCAAACCACAAAAAAAAAAATGGAAGGGTTTTCATCACAAGCTCTTTTCCTAATAATAGCCCACTTTTTCATTTTTCAAAGCCTGCCTGTGAACTGTTAATGACAGAATAATCCGTGGACATACTCCTGTGACTTCAGCTGTTATAAAATGCAATTTGACACTGAAAAGAAACGTAAGTATTACTCCCAAGAATGTTTGCCTTCTGTTTTGTAAAAATACCATCTTTATTTGTGAAACACAGTTGTTACTATGTACACAGAGCATATAAACAAGGGAAGACATTAAAAACACAGAAACCAAGCATCAATATTTTATAAATGGCTTGCCGATATAATCAACTGTCCATCACACTAGCTACACTCATCTAAGTATTTTTTCTTAATGGGCATTTTATTCGTATCTGCAAAAGACTAGCAGTAACATAGCACCTACTCTATAACTCTGAGTACAGGTCTAAGGAAAGTAGAGACCACATGAGACATTTGAAGCCGAGGGAACTATTTACAGAAGTGTTTAGAAGGCTGAAGAGCAAACAGCAGAATGTGAAATGACCCAGCTACTAACACCTGCAGGAAGCAGTTACTATCCCCAGGGCCAGAGAAAAGAAAGGGAAGAGGAGGCTGTAGAACTCATGAGCCCACTTGCACTTCTGAGGTGTCTCAGGAGATCCTGAAAACACTAAGGAGGGGATACATATGCTAGTTTGAGGAGCATGGATGGTTCCAGGAAATAGGTGCTTAGACAGCTGGGATGAAGCGTGTTTTGCAGCAGTCTGGAAATGCAACTGGGCCCTATGTAGCTGGTGTTGGAACTGAGGAGAAGGTGCTGCTCTGTAGGAGTTGGTGCTATCAATTGGTCTCTGCTTACAGATGCCGGTATAGCCAAAGGGAGTGCCACAGGGCAGGGGCTGGAACCAGGGAAGAGTTGCACTATGGACACTGAAAATGCCGGAGGATGCAGGCATCCATAGCTGCATGTTGTGGAAGAAGGCCCAGAAGCTGGAAAAGAGAAGTGAGTCATCCTTTCTCTCTTAAGACTTCATTTTTGAAGTCCCTTTCCACCTCTCATTGGCAAGATTGAATTAAAATACTGCTGGCAATAACAACTTGGAAAGATAATCTGTAAGGTACATACATCTACATTTCATAGATTTATGCAAGTTACAAAATAATATCTTTTCTTATTTCCATGAAGCCACGTTCATGCTCTACTTAAATCTTTATTATTCTTTCAAATTTCAATATGGGATGTTATTGAGCAGATGATTTATATAAGAAATAAACAATTAGGGAAAATATATCACCCTGTGGTTAATGATAGCCTCTAATTCTTTGCTATTCTCACTGAAATTGCCCTTGAATCTAGACCAGCAGCCATAGTGATTTGCTTAACTAATAAGATATAGGAAAACCAATGTTCACAGATTTCAAAATCTAGAGCAACCGCCCTGAGATCGCCATGCTGGAGAGAACACATAAAGGAGCTCTGCTTGTCAATACCAGCTAAGCCCTGACTCTAGTCATCCACTCCCAAGTGCCAGACATGAATGGGTAGCCATCTTGAACCTTCAACCTCTCCATCTGCAGGTTAAAAACTACAGTCTATTACACCAAGTAGAATAATCACCCAGACAATCCCTAACTAGATCTCTCAGCCACCAAACTGTGAAATATAATAAAACCATTGTTTTGAGCTACTAAGTTTTAGAGTAGTTTGCTATGTAGCAATAGATGTTGAAACATGGCCTTTTTAACAATTAAAGAAATGCACACTAAAGCAAATTATTCATGTTAAATGTAACCAGAATAAGCTCTTCTACATTTGCTGAACATAATTAAATCAGATAACACAGTACTCATGAAGCTTCGGGGGTGAAGTGCTCATCCCATACTGATGAAATTGAAAAGTACTACAGACTTGAGGGAATCTCTTTGACAATGTGAATCTGACACAAGCTGAGCTTATGGCTGCTCACTGTGATGAGTCCCTTCAAGGTGGAAAGTTCCCTAGCAATTTATGTTTATAATTTCATATAATTTTTCTTAAGAAGGCTCTGCCCCCAAGTGATATAAACTATAGATCCCACAAAATAGAATCTGTCCCCAGACGTTATACATTAATATCATAAAACTCTTCTGGCCCTTCTTAGTCATTAGTATTTTCTCCAAGAAAATAAGAGGAAGGGGGAGAGCTATGTTTATAAAACTCTTTATCCGAGCATCATAGATAATAAAAAAATAAACTGAAAATAACCTAAATGTTCCATAATGGATAAAAAATTAAATTATAAGCTATCAACTCAGGGCATAATGTCATTTTTTAAAAAAGTGGTTACAAAGTTTCTAACAACATGAGAGCTTGTTTATAATGACTAACTGTAAAGGCTAACCTTGAAAGTTTATATAAACTTTGATTACAAGTATAAAAATGTATACATTACAGATAAAACTTGGAAGGAAATTTGAAGAAGTGAAAATAATGATGTTGAGGTGATGGTCATGAGATACAACTTTGCTCTTCGTTTTTGCTTTTCAATTCTTATTTCTCATCTAAGTTGCATCCCATTGTAGACAATGGTAAGTGATGCAAGCCCTTTCAACAATCAGCTTCTATAGTTTTGTAAGAGACACCCTGTCAAAGCTGTAGCTAAATGAAGGGAATGACTGCAATGCGCAAAGCTCAGGAAAGAAGGCCTGGTTGTGGAGGGCCACTTCTCACTTTGAAAAATGTGGAAAAATAAACAGGTCATTAGGAAGGTAAACGCAGACCCTTGGGGAAGTTTGGCATCTTTCTAGCCCTTTTTTTTTTTTTTTTTTTTTTTCCTGATCACTTGTATGGCAAAGTAAAACCTTCAGGAGCCAGAAAGCAAACAGCTGACAGCACTGTTCTCCCACCCTCATATCTGCCATCTTTATGACCACACACACACACACACACACACACCCCTTCAAGAAGAAATGTATAAAAGAAACATTTGCTATTTTAATGATTTTGTGAATGTCCTAGAAATGTAGAACAGAAACAGCAAGATCTGGAATCTACATAAGGTTTGTGGCCAGTGGTTCTCTGACCTGCGGTGACTCCTCACTTGCTGGGAGCCTCCACGTCTCCATCTGTACAATGAGGGGTTTTTCACCATGGAACAACATCCTATCTTATCACCATTATCTGACTCAGTCGTCAAATACAATGGAGCCCATTTGAAAAGCGGAGAATGTGGGGAAGCCACATTGCTCTGAGTGGTTTTTGCTTTTTTTTATATCCTAATTTCAGATTATAGAAACTTGGATAATAAAATTTTAAGTGATACAAAGAAAATAATTAAAAGGAAAGCCAGGGTCTGCAACAGACCTCGGTGATGTCAGAAGGCAGACAGCCCAGCTTGTCTTTTCCACTCCAAACATAGAAAACACGACCACAAAGGAGTGCTCCCCCTGATGTGTTTGTTCTTCCTACTTTTCATTAGAAAGAAACACACAGGCTGGGCACGGTGACACATGCCTGTAATCCCATCACTTCAGGAGGCCGAGGCTGGCGGATCACAAGGTCAAGAGATGAAGACCATCCTGGCTAACATGGTGAAACTCCGTCTCTACTAAAAATACAAAAAATTACCTGGGTGTGGTGGCGCACACCTGTAGTCCCAGTTACTCAGGAGGCTGAGGCAGGAGAATAGCTTGAACCCAGGAGGCGGAGGCTGCCATGAGCCAAGATGGCGCCACTGCACTCCAACCTGGTGACAAAGCAAGACTCCACTTCAAAAAAGCAAAAAAAAAAAGAAAAGAAAGAAACACACGAAGAGACATTTGACCTGCCCCCATAGTAGATGTGTGAAGAGCCTCACTTTGGGAGGCTTCACTCCTTTCACGGTACCTGTAAAAGCTCACACCTGACTCACTCAGGTGCTGGCTCAACCTCAACCTCTTGGCCCATCCATCCAAGATCCAGTGAAAAGCTGTTAAGCAAATCCATCTCAGGAACTTTACATTCATGCAAAACATCATTTTGCTGTCTTCTTGCAACAATAAGGAAAGGCTGTCTTTCAACTATGTCTTGGTAATGAGAATTTAAAATTGCCTACCATGTAGTTTCCATTAAAAGCCATCTCAATACTAAAAGATATGATAGCCATTTGCAACTCACAATTCTCCTATTTTATGCCTAAATCAATTGCAATCAAAAGGCAGTTTTAAAATAGAGCATGTTCCTTCAGCTTCCTAACAAAATTGGATTTACAGAGTGATGGCTTAACACTGCTTCTTCAGTTTTTCACTCGTCATAAAGATGAGATGTGGAATTCACCTACGTTTTTAGTAAACCTCTAATTATACAAAGCTATGCATAAGAAATTATTCTCAAAGTTTGGATATAGGAAAAATGTTTTCCTCCTAATCTTAATGTTTTCTCTTATTTAAAAAAAACAGTACCCCCTTATGCTTTCAATTTTACCTTGACTATCAAGGGAAACTTAGTTTGGGTTTTGTGTGCAATAACTTCTCACATCTCTGATTTTCTTGTTTGTTTGTTTAACATAGTTGTGTTCCTCTTCCAATACACTGTACATGGCTATTATTACATGAGGTTAACTTTAGAAACTACAGGTTTTATGAGTGTAGAGAGGAGACTTTATTTCTCATAAAAGGTTATAGCCTTCCAGGTGGCCACTCCACAGGCTGAAAAGCACAGCATCTGACAACGACCAGAGACAAGGAGGGTTTAGACAGGAATTTAAGTTGAGCAAATTAAAGTAACATATGTATTCAACCGGCTATAGGAGGAGCTGTGAATATTCACGAAGGGGGTCCTGACACAAGCATATTGAGCAAATATGCTTATATATGACCCATGTTTACCTTGGGGTAAAGATAACATTTAAATGTACTACAATTAGGCCCTATACATCAAAAGGTCTTTTTAGGACACAAGGGCACACAAGTGTGCAATCTGTGGTTGGTGGTTTCATCAGAAGAATGTTATTGAAATCAGTCTCTTGTCCAATCAAAGCTGTAGTTATGGCTTGTGGAACAGGGGATCCGTTAACTTCTGTGAGCTGAATGAGCTGTCATTATTCTAACACCGCTTATCTTGAGGCCAGTGCTTGTTTAGCTGCTAGAAAAAAGAAAGAAAGAAAGAAAAACCTGTTGCAGCTAGAAGATAGTTTATTCCCTAAGTGTAGGGGTGTGTGACTTCACCTTGCCTGGCACGGCCTTAGGTGCTGTTTATAATTTGGTATCTTACTGCCATGAAGAGTCCATTCTGTTAGTCTTGTAATCTCTATTTTAACATTATTACTGATCACTTGTTGTGTCTAAACTGCAAAGGGATGGGGTGTGACAAAGCATGTCTGACCTCCTGTCTTGTCATGGCTGGGAACTCAGTTTTCAAGATTTCTCTGGGGTTCCTTTGGCCAAATGAGGGTGTGTTCAATCTGTGGGAGGTTTAGAATTTTCTCTTTAGTTTCTAAGGCTTAGCTTTTATTGATAATACTTTTCAGTGTTATTGAATATGTACTTTTGTAATTAGGTACATCAAGTCACACTGGGGAAAGATAGTGTATAAATAGATAACCATGTATATATGTGTATGCATGCATGTGTGTATGTGCTCTATATAATATGTATTATCATTAATTGTCATAGAAAAAATCTTTAGAATTAAAAAGAGCTTAGCAATCATTTAATTAAGTGGCTCCAAACATATATCTATCATGCATGGAGAACCATTTTTTTCAAATGAAATGTTGCCTAAAACTTAAACAAATATGTTTGAAAAATAAAAGCAAAGTTCCTTTGGCCAAAAGGTAGGAGGATAAAAACCCACAAACTTCACCTTGTGGCCACTCACTTTCACTGCAACAGAGCATTCTGGAATCACCCACAGAACTAATAATTTTCATATATATATGTATATACATACACATATATATATATTTTATTGCATTTTAGCTTTGGGGGTACATGTGAAGAACATGTGAGATTGTTGCATAGGTACATACATGGAAGTGTGGTTTG